TAGTGGGTTATTCCAGTTTTCAACTGTAGCGACAATAAAGTTATTGATATCAAATTGATGTACCATTACAATGAAAAAAAAACTAAGAAAAGTATTTTCACAATGCGTTCAAAAATATTTAATATTTATACAATGGTTTTTATCTGTAACCTATTTGAAAATATTAAGAAGCAAAGAATCGAGTATGTTTTAATGGATGATTTTTTAAAGAACAATGAGTTTATAACTAATTTTTTATTTAGTCTTTTATTTTTATGACAAATTCATCATGTAGAAGCGGAAATCAAATCTTCACTTCGTGGCACGCACACAGTTTACCTAAACTACGGGTAACTCCACTAACCGCATGACCACTACGTCAACATAATCATGATTAATCCGCGATGCCAAAGAATAAATTTACTATATAACTCAAATGTAAGTCAGAGAGCGTATTTTTTAAGTCTCATGATCTTGCAATAAATGTAGATTCTGGAATTTATATTTTACCTGTGTCCCAAATCATGAAAATGTTTGCTATTTAGTCTGAATTTCCTTGGAAGTCTTCACAGGATATCAACGACCGTTTTTTCAAGAGTTCCCTAGAATTTTATCATACTTCTTTTCTGAGTTCCCCAACAATAATCTTGATAATCTCAAAACTTTTTCAATCATATTCTAGGCGATCTCTACAAACCACTCGTAGTACGCATTATCTATAGAAATATTCTATAAATCACTCTTCAATTCCACAAGTCCCTCAAACTGGTTAAAATTCTCATGATTCGCTAAATTTTATCTCCATTATTCTTTATAAAATTCCCTTGGAATATTCTTCATAATTTCCTAGGTATACCCTTATCTTAAAATTTTCAGATTTCCTTACAAATACTCCCGGGAATTCCTTGAATTCAACGTTCCCATGAATTTTCTATGATTTCTCTTGCTAATTCTATTTACTTTCTTCTTAGCTGAGTTACGATGGAGCTCTACTCCGAATTTCTTGGAATGCTCCTTTGAATTCACTAGGAATTCGTCTCACACTTTCCTATCAACTCTTTTCAGAATAACCATAAAATTCAAAATTCTAAAGTAATTGAGAATTCTAAGGTAACTTAGAATTCCAAAAATCTAAGAATGATCAAATCTCTTTTAAATTCTCCTTAAAATTCTTATGAATTATCCTTAAAAATCTCATGAACATACTTCAAAGTGCCAGGCTCGGTGCCAGTATCCCGAAAATTTGTCTAAATTTTTAAGTCTTGCTAACTTTCCAAGGCTCACTTCCAAGTTTTGATTTTTGTTTTCAATATTACGCATCGAAATACTGTTGATATCTCAACCTTCGAAAAATTCTTCCAATTCTTTAATTTGGAAAATTTGTTGCTATCTTGGAGCTTATCAATTTTCATGGTAGATGAAATAACAAAAATTACTAAAATGCTATAAATTTATTTTGTGAATGAATTAGTTTCTATTGTAAATTGTATTGCTGTGATACACCATATTTTTATTTCTGACAGATGTCATGATCATTTGAATCTTCAACAACACAAATAGCAGCTCCCACAAAACATACAACAATGAACCTGATATTCCACTTTTGCAGCAAACATGGTGTAACAATTCCATGTATGATGCTGCAATAGTGTACAATGGATACATTGATGGCCTTTAATAAGTTAAGTAGCTTTTTATTTTTGGAAAAATAAACGGTAAATCAAAATTAGTGATATTATTGAAGCAACACATTTAAAAAATCTGGGAAAATCTGGAACACATTTTAAAAATCTGGAAATAAACGTGAATTGTCTGTGTACCGATAATAAGACGACTAAAAATCTGGAAAATCCAGATAAATCTGGAATACTGGCACCGCTGCCTAGACACGACCGCAGTATGACGTAGAACCACACAAAATTGATGTTTGTCATACATTTTTGACTATTATTCTTATTATTATGAATGGGGCAGGGCAGAACGTATCTTTTGTGCAGAATATGGAAAAAATGATGGACTTTGGATGTTAATCTAATTGCATATATAGAGGTACCAGATATGTTTTACAGTCAGTTGTTGGTAATTCACCAACATAATATCATCGGATGTATGTCTCCTCTTAAGAAATTGCTTTGAAAATTTTGGCTTTTGTTTTTACTTATAATTGTAGTTTGCTTAAAATGTATTTCCCGGAAAAAAGTGATCGATCCATGTCTTTTTTCAGTTGACGTTATAGACGGTGAGAAGGGGAGAGGGGGAGAGGGATATTTTGCATATCCAAGTCGCATTCCTCATTATGTGACAGGTGATCACGCCGTGATCCACCTTTATCTGCTGACTTGCCTGCTTGCTGCAGGACCAAGTGCCACGCCGTCCGAAGCTGTAATGTAGGATTGGGCGATCTTGGATCGATCTTTGGAAGATCGATCTTTTTCATTTCGATTTCCGATTTTTCGGATCGATTCTTTGCCCACGAAAAGATCGGAAAATCGATCCCTTCTTTCATTATTTTCTATCTTAAAAAAGGTGTTAAATTTATAAAGTACATTTACATCGAAAAAACGATTAACTCTCACAACAGATTGCGTTGTAAATTTAACGAACATAACGTCTACATCAGCATCGCTCCCTACAATGACGTCACTATTTGCGTTTCCGATATTTACGAATACAGCAACATTTGAAGGTTTGGGCTACCTCCCTCAAATGCTCATTGCTCCTTACCGTCACGACAACATTTAACTACATATTATAAAGGAAATAATTTCTTGGGGTACCAACGTAAACAAGCGTATTAAAATAAAAATCAAAAGTTCGATCTACCAAAGATCGATTCTTTGGTACCGATTTAATCAGTGGATCGATTCTAGAGCCAAATATAAGATCGATTCGTCAAGATCGATCTTTCAGCGGCGCCGGTGGTGTAGTGGTAAGCGTGATTACCTCTCACCCCAGCAGGCCTGGGTTCAATCCCAGTCGGCGCCGCCGGGATGTTCTGAGGCATAACATCTCTGATCACGCCTTCCTTCGGAAGGGAAGTAAAGCCGTTGGTCCCCGGTTCATGAGTTGATGGGTCGATAGGTAGGGTCCAGGTGTGGGAGCTGCTTCTCTGGCGTCGGTAGCATTGGTGCTCAGCACGGAAAACAAGATCGACGGAAAACAAATCAAAGGAAAAAAAAAAAAAAAAAGATCGATCTTTCTCTGAAGATCGCCCAATCCTACTGTAATGAGCAGAATCACGACAGCAACGCTGTATTATATCTTTTCAGGTTCAAGCAGAACGATGTGCAACCGCACCTGACAGGATTTTCCGCCGTTTTTTTATGAATGGGGCGGGGCAGAACGTATCTTTTGTGCAGAATATGAAAAAAAGGATGGACTTTGGATGTTAATCTAATTGCATATATAGAGGTACCAGATATGTTTTACAGGTCTCCTCTTAAGCATTTTTTTTTAAATTTTAGCTCAGCGTGTAAAAAAGTATTTTTACTTTTAAGGGGCTGTTCATAAACTACAAAGACAGAGTTTAAGGGGGGGAGTTGGCAATTTACCACAGCCCATACAAATTTAAAAAAAAATGTATGGACAATTGTCAACGCAGGGTGGTCAAGAATTCAAAAAACTGTCTACGTAGGTAATGAACAGCTCCTAACTGTGGTTTGCTTAAAATTTATTTCCCGGAAAAAAGTGATTGTCACAGTCCATGTCTTTTTCGGGTTGTTGTTAAGGGGGGGGGGAGAGAGGTTTTAATTAAGGGGGGGGAGGTTGTTGTTAAGGGGGAGGGGTTTCACATACATAATTTTCCAAGTCTCATTCATCATTGTGGTGGTCATGGTCACGCCGTGATCCACCTTAAGCCGCTGTCTTGGTCCTGCTAGCTGCAGGACCTAGTGCCACACCGTCCGAAGCGGTAATGAGCGGAGGCAGGAAAGCAGCGCTGTTTTATATCTTTTCAGGTGCAAGCAGAATGATGTGCAACCAAGTGGTATTCGTTTTTGATGACTGGGTTTGAGAAAAAAACGTTTACTTCGTGAAAACAGTGATAAAATTAACATTTGCGCATTTTTCAAAAGTTTTTTGATTAAAATTGGAAAAGTATTTATTTCAGCAGATTTGTTAAGTAAAATCCTATCGATTGGCGTATTTGGATTTAAATTTCATCTATAAATGTAAAAAAAAACAAGCTAACACTATTCCAGCTCATGAGGCTAGTCACAAAGGCCTCTCCCGACCAACCATTTCGTTAATTTTCTTTGATTTTCTATACATCGATCTTCAAAGCCATTCATAAGAAAAATCAATAGCGTACGTCACCATTTCATGAATAATTGTAAAGATGCTAAAAGTCTAACCGTGAATAGTTTATAAAGATTTTTTTCAAAATATTGCTACCAATTGTTACCAATGTTAAAATATCGATTTTGTTGCCAGATCAAAATATCGATTTCTGTTGTAAAATAAAAATATCGATACACAACTCCTGATTTTATTTGTGATTTTTTATCTGCATAATTTCTAGTTTCGATCCCATGCCATCTGGGGTGTACTGATTTCGTTGTTGGTTGCTTATCCTCGGGTCCACGGCTGCTGTTGATGAACACACTCTAGTATGTTGTGTATTGAAATTTCTTTTCATACATGAATTCAATATTTATTTGTCATAAACATCAACCAGTCAGCCATGTAGGTGTAATAGAGGTCAAAAAAGTATCAATTTTCCTCATTGGGTTCCCATTCCACCACGCATGCTATCACGGGTTATTAAATATATGTATTCGGTCGCGGCCATCGGTCTTCTCGTTCATTTACCGGCAGATTGCTTCTTCCGATGAAATGCCGAATATGTCGATAAATAATATAAACATTGCCATCTGTCACCTGGTGTGTCTCGAACTCTCTTTAACCAGCGATGCAAATCGATAACAAGGAGATTATAAATGTGCATAGATGGCAATCTTTGTTGTTCTTTGTTAAAGTTCAAAGTTACGATGATATCAGTATTTAAATATTTATTGATTCCACGAGATCTTACGATTACATATTTTGATAAAGCTTGATTATAATGAATAAGAAAATTATGTGATTTCAGGCGAAACAATCAGGAATGTGGATAACATCGACACATCTTATCGGGGTAAAATCAACACCGAAATGAACGTTTTTCGATCATAAACACGAGGAACAGTGATGAACCACTTTTCTGGGGCTTTTCCATTACTTTTTATTATAGAACGCTAACGTAAAATCCAGTTGAATTTTCAGTTAACCCATCGTGAAAAAGATAGCTTAATGCAATTAAACTCCGTATCAAAATCCAAAACTTCCGCACCGTAGAGCCACACTCTGTGTTTTCACTGAAGGTGCACTCGAGAGCGCTCTCAAGTGCACCTTCTCTGAAAGCACAGAGTGTGGCGCTGCGGCGCAGATTTTTTTTTAATTTTGATAGGGAGATTAAAAGCACTAAGCCATCTACTTTAAGATCGGTTAACTGTTTTTTTTTGCTGAGATGGGCACCACCGAGCAGCTCGGCATTTTATTTTACTGGGTCTCAGTGAAAAATTTTCCGAGATTCAGCAAAATTTAGAATCCTAGTAAGTTTTCCACTGAGATCCTGCATAAAAAAAATGCCGAGCTGCTCGGTGGTGCCCATCTCGGCAAAAATATCTAAGTGTGTGAACATTCAATTGAGTTTAACGTAAGCGTTTTATATAAAAAAAAAGTAATGATATAGTCCCAAAAGAGCGATCCATCCCTGATGAGGCATCTACAAAACATTTAGAAACACATCAATTTTGCATTAAACTTAAGGCATATCCTGTTTCTGAAGCATATTGCAAATGCTGATTTTACCCCGAATGAACTAAACATCTTTTGACAAGTCTTTGAGAGTCAACAAACTTAAAAATTACCAAGCTTCATACGAAATGCACAAAAGAATGATTTACGATGAACTACCCACTTAGAAATTATTATTTTTACACGAGACGTAATTCAGCTTTGACGTAAATCATGGAACGTAAACAAACATGGCATGTAAAATTAAGTATCCTGAAACTGAAACACATGCAACTCGACGAAAAGTGCGCTTAATTGAATTGATTTTCTCGTCCTTTTCAACTGATTCTTATGTCAAAAGGACCACTTGCATGTGTCGGTCTCAGGGCACTGAAATTTACATGTCTTTTTCGTAGCGTGTAGGCACACATCAATTACCGAATGTTATAAAATGTTACGTCTAAAACAGTTAAAAGCTGAATTTATTTTGACAGTAACAGGATAACGGCAGCTATAGGGTGATTCGGAACATAAGAAATAACAAGTGTGCATAGGAGTTACTAAACAGTTTTATAAAAAAAACAGCTGATAATCTGAAAATTCAGTGCAGGTTTTACCCTAATTCCCCCTCTATTAGTTGCTTAACAGGTGGCAGAAAAGAAAAAAAAACACTTCAACGCATTAATGCAGGGGCCCATTATTACAGCTTTATAGTATTTGTGATTGTGATAGTGATTGAAAATCGACTATGAAACACTTCAAGGTAATCCTTCGAACGCGTTCGTGATTGCTGTGTTGAAAATGTAGTCAATTACACCGATATCACGTTTACCTTCAAGTGTTAGGTACATAAATAAGGTAACTAGCACTTCCGCTACCACTTCCACCTTCGCTTACACCCGTTAGCGTAATCCTGTGCACCGAAATGATTTCCCAACCATGGGTAAGACTTAGGGCAGCTTACGTCACATAGTTTGACCCATCGAGTAACGTAGTTATCACCTTCCTTCTTGCACAACTCGCATGAAACCGGTTTACAGCTGATAGGACCAGGTTTACGGCAATTTGACCAGTTAGAATTTTTCATTTGTGTCAATGAAACTGGATTCCTAACCCAGTTGATAACGGTAGATGCGTTGACCTTTAACATTAAACGAAAATTATAAATATTCAGTTTTTACCAACCTCGCAGAAACATTACCAAAAACACATCCTTCAGGGTTTTTAAATAATCTAAAAACTTTTTGTAAGCTTCAAAATGAACTGGGCTTACGTTGAACCATGCTGCATGCACGTAAAACCCGAACGGCGCCTTATTGCTCAGGTAAGATTTCTCGAAATTCTGCTTGAAGAATTCGAACAGTCCCTGGGTAGTATTTGGCCTATTAAAAATGGGTAAACAAACGTTAACTACCATATGTTAAAGACAATTTGCATATTACAAACATTCCCAAACAAGTATCGACCATAGAACATGGAAATCCATCTCTTGTTGTCCACGTTATCATGGGAATAACCCACACGCCTGGGATGCTTCCAGCAGGACACGGTCCGATCACACAATCCTGAGTACTCTTGTAGTCCAAGGTATATGGCCATAGTCCAGGTGATACAAACGACCTTGTGGGCATCGAGCAATCGTAAATGAAGTTGTTGTCCTTCATCATCTGGAACGAATTGTTAGCAGACATCTGCAGGAAAGGCATTCGAAGCCCTGTCACGTGGCTAGCAGGTATCTTTGCAAACTTTTCCACTATACTTCGTTCTCCGGCAAATTCGTCGGTTAACTGTTCCACCGAAGCCGATCGCCAGTAGTCTGTATCGGTAGTATGCGAAATTGAATGTAAGGCGATCTCATGACCAGCAGAGTACATTTCATGAATCAAGGTGTAGTCAGAATATTCATGCGATACGAAGAATGTAGCCGAAACAGGACACGAATCGGGATTAACGCGTTGCACAAATGCTTCTCGGTAGTACGGAACATTGAATATTGTTATAGCATCATCAAAGGTAAGTAGTACAAACTGGGGAGTATCTTTTGGCTGAAGACCTCCCGGGACACCAGTTGATGAGCAGCGACAGTTCGGTGGCTTGCAGTTTTGCGTATTACAAGGTGAAACTTTTTTTGACTCACTTAGTATTAGATGTATGAACGAAAATATTGAGATGCACACGAAAATCTTTTTTGAAATCATGATAAGTGAAATAAGCTGTATGAAGGACGACAGATTACTAACGAATTGCAGAACCTCTGAATGATATTTATTAAATTGAATTACTACTTATCGTCGCGAATCAACCCGCATATCTTCAAGTGGGTGCTTAAAAGAATGTTGGTTTGTCTCTTTGGAAAGGTGTTACGTGAAAATTTAATTTACAAATAACTTGATATTTCTTCCAATCACTTACGTTGAAATACACTTGATTCAACGGCAATAAAATATAGTACAACATTCTAGAAAACAAAATTCTATATCATAAAAGAGTATTCCACTGCACTGTGTCCGAAACGACAATTTAGCAAGAGATAAAATATTTACACTATTACTCCTTTACCGTGTAGCTGATGAAAATAGTGATTATTGATACCTGTAATTTTAAAAGATTGTTTGTGACATTAAATTCAGAATGATGATATTACTACTTACCTATATCAGTAAGTACAGGCCGATGGTAAGATAAATAGGTGATGAATACTTTACATCTAAGATCTGTAATATGTAGCGCAAAGGTCGTGAGTGGTCGGAACAAACGTGTTTGCTCTTAGTTCTTTCAATTATTCGAAAATCTGTTATCTTAACTCCTTCTATATTTGAATTGGTGGCCCTGAAAAGGGCCGTTTGTTTGTTGGTTGTTGGCCCTGAAAATGGCCTTTTGTTTTTCAAATGGACCTGTTGTTTTTCCTGGTGTCCATCGAAAGGGTTGTTGGAGTTGGAGGGTACGGAACGAAAAGGGAATACTAATCGCTGTTGCCTTTTGGCGCTATTTGTTGATATGCTGTTATATTTCCTACACTCAAAAAATTCTACACGTCATCATCATGTGTCTCACACTTAATTTTGCGCTTATTGTGAAACACATCCATTTCATGTGTGACTCTTATGCTATGAATCATGCCTGAACACTATGGATTTGAATTGTGACACACTTGGATTCTATGTGCTTCATATGGTTATATCAAAAGCTTTGCACATCATAGTTCCATATTCTACTTTATCGACTTCTGCTTTACCGACTCTAAAATGAATCGAAAAATACATAAACAAAACTTCCAGAGGCCAGAGCTTTCACATATATTTTTAATGCATGGGTCTGATTTGGGATTCGATCATGGACTGTTGGGGTGTGCTGCTGCTGGAGTCTTCGTTCGATCTCACTGTGCCACGGTTGTTCTCATATATGAGGCGGGTTGATAGGATAAAGTCACAACTCTTGTTTTCGATGTTTACCTTTCTGAGCAAGCAATTCACATCGTATTGAAATGCAAAACACTTTAAATCCATCTGTTTTGAACAGTAGTGTGATTCAATGTGCAATACACTTGAATAGATAGTGAAAGATTTTCAACATTTCAAAGTTTGAAACACTAGAAATTAACGTGTATAACAACCAAGGTGAAATACACTTAAAGTAAATGTGATTGTGCATTTAAAAAATCAAGTGTTTAAACACTTCAATCAAACGTGTGGAATTTTTTGAGTGTAAGAGATGAACTAGCCTATGGCTAAAAATCTCTATAATAAAGAAAAAAAAAAAAATGTTATATTTCCTTCAGTGAATGGAGAACTAACACGAAATGCATATACATGCTACCAATTGCCGTCTGCGGGAAGGTTTAGAGCTGATTGATTTACGCAAGTTTATTCTCTCACCGAGACTCAATGACCCAAAGCTGATAGTGATTTTCCGAACACTGCTATTGGCACTGATTGATGATTCTTTGTTGTTATTTCTCTCCATGGTTCAAAAACATTTCAATTTTGTGAACCTGTTTTACCCACCATCTAGAGGTCATAAAAGAAATTCTATATCTTTTATGATCTCTAGATGGTGGCGTAGAAATATAGTGGCCCTGAAAAAGGCCATTTGGGATCCAAGAGATTTACATGCTGATACTTTCGGGATGGCGTGCTAACACCATTGCACAGCGGTTGAAATTTTACAGGTGATCAATGCAGTAGTCAGCCTAATGGAACGACTGCAGTGGAACGTCAGAAACATGGTGAAGCTACTCAGAGAGCCTCCGATGTCCGCGTCCTTCAGGGCCCTACCAAATTTGTGGTGGTCATCTCCGTCACAAATGAAACTGCCATTTTGGATCGAAGCGAACAAACTGGTGTACTTGAGTATCTTAGCGTGCTCAGTTGGCTCTCCTGGCAGCAGCATTACGTAGGTGTACAATGATCACTCAGCTGTGTTACGTTCAAAGGATGTCGTTGCCGTTGGTAATGCTCCTCATTCCGATGTCCACGTCCACTTTCTGGGTCTTTCAAAGTATTTAAATTCACTCAAATTCAAATTCGACTGTACTCACAGCTAATGGAATTGCAACTGATCACGTTCACTGAATTACAGTCTGTTTTATACTTGCAGAATAGCTAATTACCCGCATAAATGTAAACCATTCCGTGACCTTACCACAAATGGTTAAACATTTGTTTATAATCCCTGCTAAACGCTAACTAAAATGGCTATGGAACTTTACATGAACGTTTGCCTGATAAAGTTTTAACCTTATGTATTATGTTTTTTTTTTTTAAATGACAAATTACAAATAATGGGTTGTTAAGAACCATTACCATCTGTACGGTGCATGGATGGTTTTGTAACATCGATCAACTTTATGTGGAATATATCGCGAATGTGTAACCGCTTATACATTGCAAGGCGTCTGCTCATTAGTTGACTTATACATTTTATGAATGGTATAAGTAGATTTCTATCCGTGCACCTTACTAACTACCATAACCATTACTATTAAAATTCTCAAACCATAAGTAAAAAGGTTCTTATATAGTTTTGTAAAATGTATGAAGAAAACAACTATTTTGAATGGTAACGGTTCTTAACAACCCATTATTTGTTCATTTCCAAAAAAAAAATACATAAGTTTAAAACTTTATCACACAAACGTTCATGTAAAATTCCATAACCATTTTAGTTAAAGTTTAGCAGGGATTATAAACATTTTTTAACCATTTGTGGTAAGTTCAAGCAATGGTTCGCATTTATGCGGGTAGGCCCTTCCCTTTTGGAGTATTTTTTCGTCAGAGTGTTCCTAATTGTAAGTATATGGCAGCATTCACACAAGACCAAGACGTGTTCCGACCAGCATTGAATTGAATTGTTGTGAAAGAACTATTATAACCGAGTTTTCAGACATACGACAGAGGAAATAATAAAACACTTGTTTCTATGTTCGTAGTCAAAGTACTAATGACCCATATATTCAACCTATTCATGTACAGCACTCAAAACTCTGCTACTCTCTCATTTATAACAGTTCCTCTCTGAGGTGACTGTCCATCTTAACGAACTGTCGAAAAAGCTTTGCCTGTTACACCACTACAACTCCTCTATCATTAAGATGAAATTTCAAATACTCAGAAAATATAAAATTTAAAGTAATTCTCATATCAATCAAATTTCAGAATGCAAAACCTAAATTGTGCGCAAAATTTCAGTATATCCACTTAAAGTAAACTACGGAAAATGCAAAACCTTCGAAAACTAACTAATAGTATACATAATCATTTTTCTTCTTCTTCTTCTTCTTCTTCTTCTTCTTCTTGCATTTCCTCTTCGATAGACGATTACCGTTAGCCAAATTGTCGTTCTGATAATGGCTAACTGGGGCAACTTCCTCCCCCGAAAAAAAGTAAGAATCAGCAGCGAAACCGTAAAAATCAGAGCTAACGTCTGACCTGTCTGACGAATCCTCACAATCATCTTCTCGTCTGCGCTTGTTTCTGGGCTTTGCTGGTGGCTCGATAGGTAACAATTCATCGATAGGTAGTCGGTTCAATGGTCGGCAAAGAAACACTCTCTCCTTGGAGAGCAAAAGTCCTGGGCGCTTTCTGGCGAGAGACTGGGACAACCTTTAGCTGGCGCTTATGCGCCGAAAGAACCCTGCCTCCCAAAGATACACTTCAAATCATAAACTGTCTGCTCGTCATTAATCGCACTGATGTACTCCGTAGCTGCAGTCGGTCTGGTGAAAACATGTCTCCATCCAGTGTAAAAAATATCCAGCCAGGTACGTCCCATCAAAGGAACAAAATCATTTTCACAGCGTAGAATTACCAAGTAGAGCTTTCTTTGCATGTTTCCTAGCTGTACATATACTTCCACCTTTCCTAATACCTTCAGCTTCTTACCATCGATTACTACAAGACGCTTATTGCATCTCTTTACAGGAATATTTATAAAGTTTCGGAGAAACAATTCCTCAGAGATCACACTTTCCGCTGATCCGCAGTCTACCTCCATTGTAACTCTCTTGCTTTCGATTCTTAACTCTACATAGCAAGATTCATTAATTTTGTTCACTGCCGAAATTATTAAGCAAGGCATATCTTCCTCCGAATCTTACTGTATATCTTCCTTCAAACGCTTGAATAATCCTGATGTTGTAGGCTCAGAAGTTTTAGGCAAATCAACAAATTTTACACCTGACTTGAATTTACGCGGGCTTTTGTTTTTCAACTTGAAGCAACATTTTCTTAAATGACCTTTCTTTTTACAAAATGAACACAAAAACTCCTTGTCGCATTTATTATTCTTTCTATCTCCATATCTTCCTCCGCTTCTGCTTCTAAACGATCGATTCCTACTGTCACTCCTACTTCTGCTGCGGACGGTCCTGTCTTCGACCCAAACGAGCTTTAACACTTTCTCTTCAATCATCGTCGTTTCGCAAAAATTGGGTTCTATCCGAAGCTATTTCCTAAATCACTATCATTTTTTCCGCTTTGGCAACAGTAAGAACGTCCTCGTCAAACAACCTCTTCTGTAACTTCCGATCATTGATGCCGATAACCAAAACGTCACGAATGGCCCTATCTTTAAATTCACCGAACTCGCACTGCTCGGCTAAATGCTTGACATCAAGCACAAAATCAACTGCCTTCTCGAATTGCCCTTGCCTACGAGTCCAGAATTTAAAACTGTGTATAACATCAGAGTCCTTTTTATCGTAATGCAGTTTTAATTTTTCTGTTAT